CTTTCTCTGCTGTGTAATTAAAATACTACATTATTCTGCATGGTCTTTGTCAATTTCTACTGACCACAGTATTCTTCTTGAAAAGCTAAATAAATATGTATTAGAGGGCTAGCATTACAGTGGGTATCTGCTGGTAGTTATTTAGAAGAAAGAAAATAGTTTGTTCAAATAAATGATGTAAGATCTGAACTTTGTAACATCACATGTGGAGTGCCTCAAGGTCCTGTACTTGGACCTAAGTTATTTATTTTATATGTAAATGGCTTGGTTAATGTGTCAGGACTGTTTAGATATGTTTTATTTGCAGATGATACTACATTCCTTTGTTTGTGTAAAGATATAGAACAAATGTTAGAGATGGTACAGACAGAATTTGTGAAAATACAAAATTGGTTTCAACTTAACAAATTATAATTAAATTTGAATAAAACAAATTACATGATATTCAGTAACAATAAGAGAATGGTCGATGCTCCATTTAGAGTCGATGGTGTTGAGATTTGTAGAGTCAGTGAGGTGAAGTTCCTGGGTGTCATCATTGACGAAAAGCTGACATGGAAACCTCACATAAATAATTTAAGAACAAAAATAGCTAAATCTATTGCAGTACAGTACAAAGTAAGATAGTTACTCAATGATAAAGCACTGTTTATGTTGTATAATGCAATAATTGTCCCACACTTAATTTACTGTATTGAAGCCTGTGGTAAAGCATGTAAAACAATTACAAATCCTATTTTTATTTTACAGAAAAGAGCTGTAAGAATTATCACTAGAAAAGATTATAGCCATCCATCAAATACATTGTTTTATCAACTGAAGATATTGAAATTCTATGACTTGGTTGCAAAACTTACTGCCTTCTAATATCCAAGTAAATTTTGTTAAAAGGGAGAGTGGTTATTATCTTAAGGGGATAGAGATATTTGTGAAGTCTTGGTTTCGTACCAGTTTGATGGAGCGGTCTACTATAATTCATGGAATAGGATTGTGGGATGGTCTGAAGGATGATGTTAAAACTGTCAGATCTATGTACATATTCAAGAACATGTTTAAAGTTAGTTTCCTGAAGGAATATGGAAAAGTATAACGTGTATCTAGACAAATTTTGTTTGAATTGATGTTGTTTTTAGTTAGCTTTGCTTTTTTTGTAAATTACTTTTGTTTGAATATATTCTGAGCAAAAAGGGGCAGATGTCATAAGATTTATTCTTCTTCTGCTGCCTTTCATTTTATTTTTGATTGCATACATATTTTTTTGTTTTCTATTGTATATAGTTATTTTGTTTTTAATGAAATTAATAAATTTCTAAAATAAATAAATAAATAAATAAAATTTGGCCTGCTACCAAATGCAGATGCCAAAAAGGGGGCTGACAATGATGTAACACTTCAATAAGGTTTTGAGTCAAAACCTTGGCATTACCTGTTGGAATCAACTTTGTCAGGTTGCTAAATATTTCATAAAGTATTAGATATATTTCAATGAAATTTTCAAAGTTATAATTGCCTTTACATCTACAACTGGGTAACATTTATAATCAACCCAAGTCGCGATAGCTACCACAGCTAATCAGCTTTAGCCTATACAAAAATGGCTTTGCCTCAGTGACTTTTACACATATGGACGTAAAATTTAATGTGGTAGTAGCCAACAATCATTCACAACACATACGCCAATGTTCACGCTAACAAAGCAAAGGTACAAAGGTACAAAGTTCATTATTTGCCATTTGTGCACAGACCAACAATTCAAGCATATTGGATTTCTTGTGCAGAGCTCTTTCAGTCATAATCAAAAACACTGAAACAACACTAAGTAAATTAAATAAAAAGAACAAAGTGATTTATATCTACACTGTACAGAAAGTAAACCATGTCACATGATAAGTGAAGTTAGGTAGTGTAGGGTTATTATTGCACCTGATCAGTAGTTTGGTTTTGCCATCAGTCTGACTGTGGCAAGGAAAAACCTATTAACAAACCTTGTACAGTACTATGGGGTGCAAGGTTTTACCAAAATGGCTACAACTCCCATTTCCTTATGATGATCATGAAGATGATTTGAGTTTAAAACTTAAATTCAAGTTGAGTAGTGATTCAGTGAGACTGTTGGTTGCTTTTAAATATTAGAATCCTAAACATTGCTTTGGCAATATGGGAAGCTAAACACTTAGTAATTTTATTGTCGTCTTCCTCTTTCTGTTTTCTTCTTTTTCAGTTCTGGATCAGTTGCCCTTCATGATGATGCCACATCCTCTGATTCCTGCCAGCCTGGCGCCAGCCTCCGTCTCGATGGCGATGGGCCAGATGAACCGGTTGAGCACACTGGCCAGCATAGCCAATGTGGCCCAGCTCCACGCCAATCCACCTGCCAGAGCTCCCACCTCTGTCATTAAGGTAAACCCAGTGACCCACCAGCCTCACAGATCTGACTATCTGATCATCAAGAAATCCTTTAAGTTTGTAACGTTTAGAAACCCAGAAAGTGTTTATCTAGATCAGGGGACTGCACTCTTTGCGATATAAAGAGCCATTTTTGCCACTTTGCTTACTAATTACCATGTCCGGAGCCGCTAAACCTGCTGCAACTGTGTACCTGTACTGTCAACTGGTGGCCCGTGGACCACAAGTTTGTTGGAGATGGCTTTTCTGGCCAGTGAGGGTGATATTACAAAATGAAATGTCTTACTATTAACATTTATTGACATTTTTACATTTACAAAAGAAAAGACCAGATTCACATTTTATAAACATTAAAACACTGAACTCTGCAGGCCGATGTGAGTTCTCTTAATTGTTGAAGAATTAAGTATCCTACTTAAAGCATAACGTTTAAGGCAATATACAATTAGGCCAGTTTGTTGGATATCCAATTACATTTTTAAAAGAAAAAGAAATATTTTTGTTTACTTTGACTTTGTTTTTTGTGTTTTATTCTTAGTGTTATCAAAGTTACTCATATTCCTTCTCTGCAGCTTGTCTTATATTGCAAAACATTCTGGTGGTTTTGAGAGAAAGATCATGCTGTGAGACTGAAAGTTCACTTAAAGTGGCTGACAAACTACTAGCATGATGTAGTTCAGTGGTTCCTATGGAACACCATCTTGCATGTTTTAGTTGTTTCCCTGCTTTGACACGCCTGATTTAAATGCAAGGGTGATTTAACAAACTTTGGCAAAACTTGAAGAAGTAATAAAATCACTGAATCAGGTGTGTTGGAACAGGGAAACAACTAACACATGCAGAATGGCATTCCTCAAGGGCCATAGTTGGGTACCACTGAATTTGTAGTCCACATGTTTTATGCCGTGTATTTGAGAGACGCTGCAGAGGTACCAAAGAGCCACATGTGGCCCCAAAGCTGCAGGTTGCAGACCCCTGATCTAGATATTCATATAGAGAGATCTGGTGTGCCGATGAAAACCACAACCGTCCAAATAAAGCTGTTACTGGTTTTTTTTATTTGTTAGGAGCGAGTGCAGGACACCCCCTCTCCTTCGCCCTCACTGGACGACGCTCAGATTTCATCCAATCACAGCAGCAGTGTGTCAAGTTCACCGTTGCCTACAGAGCGCACTGCAGACACCACACGTACGTACTCACCTGTGTGACCTGCAAACATGCCATAGATCTACCCTGGCAGATGCTTTCATACATTTCTTTCTTCAGATCAACTTCATGATGGCCTTTTGTCGAATCACAGCGTGTTGGGCCACTCTCCTGGTCTGGTGCATGGTCCCAGAGAGACAGATGGGGCATCAGCAGAGTACAACAAAGAGAACAAGAGGAGCCACGCTGACAGGGGTAACAACACTGATTCTGCAGTAGCGCTAAAAGCTTTTTTATTTAAATGACTTGTTTTTAACCATCTTACATCTATTGACTGACCGTGTTAACCTCATTTCAAAGGTCAATTTTCTGCTGTTTTTCTGAGGATTTCTTCTTACAGTCAGTCATTTAGTAATAATAATGAGTAATGATTACTTCTCAGAAAAATCTATTGTCTCTTTTGCAAATGCTGTCAGTATTGACCAACAAGCATTCAGTTTTCAGCCAATCCATCCATCTTTGTCACTGTTCGTGCTCCGTGAACTCAACTACCTGTGGATGGTTTACAAGTTTCTTTGAAAACATTATCTCTGATAGGAAATGTTTTTAGTTTAACGAGGGAAATGTCAGTAACAGGTTAACAACGATTTACCTCTTCTGCTCCTCCTCTCCTCCTCACTGTCAGTGCGCCCCCCCCCCCCCCAGCACCCTGTGGTGAGCAAAGACAAATAATTCTGCAAAACAGGACTCTATTAGACCAGAAAGCAGTGTTACATTAGTGAGCCATTTGCCGGGCCGGGGCCTAACGAGCCGGGCGGCCTCCCGCGCTCTCAGCTGGACCTCATCTGCATAACGACTGCCTCTCTGTCGTTAGGGCCCCGTGTTGCCACGGCGCTGCAACGTCAGTTGTTTGGTTCTCTCTGTCAGGGAGGTTTGCATTAGCTTAATGAGGACTGCTCAAGGACAAACAGTCAGCAGAAATTTACAGTGAGAGAACAAGTGAGGGAGATTGAGAGTTGTTTGTTTGTGGATTCTTATAGCTCTGCCCGTGTAGACGTATTCTAATACTGAATCCTATTATTCAGTAATCGAATCTAAAAAAAAAAAAAAAAAAATCACAATAGCTTTCCAGGTAAGGCTTCAGACGAAATATATTGACAAAACAGTGATGGCACCAACAACGTGAATGCCATGCATCACATATCTCATTTGTGCGATTGATTTTCAATTGATTTTCTCATTTTAATTTATTTATATTTTGCATGCAAATGAATCGCATGCACATTTGCTAGATTGCAAGCTTTTGTGTTTGACCTAGAACATCACAGGATAGGTTTACAGTGGATTGAACAGAGTTTCAAAGAGCTCTTCAGCGCTGTCATTCTGTCAATCCATTCTATAATAATCAGTGTGTGTGTGTGTGTGTGTGTGTGTGTGTGTGTGTGTGTGTGTGTGTTTGTGTGTGTGTGAGAGAGAGAGAGAGAGAAAGAGAGACCGTTTTGGCTGTGTGTGCTGTTTCACTGGTCTTTGAACAACGCATCCATCCAGCAAAGATCAGAGGCCATCCCTGACACCTCACTCCCATTAACCAAACATCAGCAGAATTTTAGTCTCTCTCTGTGTCTTCTTTAACCCCCCCACCACCACCACCTTTCCGTTCTCTTCCGCTGACTGGCACTCTTCACGTTGTGAAGTTCATTAGCCCTGGGGAGAGGTGGGAGAGGAATAGAAGTGGGGAGTAAAGAGAGATGAACTTGGGGGAAAAGAGGAAAACAGACAATGACCTTGATTAGAGAGATGGGTAAATGATCAAACAAGCTGGCAGTTCTGTGTGTGTGTGTTTATGCCAAACGGTGTGTGTGTGAGAGTGAGGTAAAGTAGGCGTAAAACAGTAACTCAATAAAGGATCAGTCACATCCAAGGAGCCTGGGGAGCCCACGCTGCTGACTGTGCACTTCGGCAGCTACAAATGTGTGTGTGTGTCTGTATGTGAGCCGCGGGAGTGTAGTTGGATGCCCTCCGCTGAGCTCGCCAGCACCTGCTAATTACCTTTCTCTACAGAGCAATGCTTTTAGCAAGGAATAGGGGGAAAGGGGAAGAAAGAGGGGGGGGGGGGGGCATATTGCTTCTCATATGTGAAACACCTTGAATGTGACAGTTGCCAAGACATGAGGCCGAGGCAGAGTATGGGGAGGTGGGCGGATTTGGAGCTGAAGATGCTGTGGTCAGCTAAGTAGTGAAAACACCCTCATTTGTCACAGACAGAGAAAAGTGCCAGATATCACATCGCACGTTTGCACTCATCCCTGCTCCAATAACTGCCCGACTCCCAGGACATCTCTGTCCTCAGTGGCTCAGATATCAGTAAAAATGAGCAACGGCCTGAAAAAAAAAAAAGAAAATTGCAGAAAATGTCTAATCTTCATCCTCTCTCACTGTCACGAGCACGGAACGTGCAGTTCTCAGGTTTACAAACAGATGGTCATCCATAATGCAAGTTCTTAGCTGCTTTTATGGGCTGCGTCAAGCTGTGATGCATTATCAATAGGCAGACTGCCATCTAATAAAGGGCAACCGCATTTTTAAAACCCCAAACCAGAACTTCTGTGTATGTGTGGCTGAACTTGCACGCAGCAATTAACTGTTTATAGTTTTGTGGGGCTCCACATGTTTACATACAGTTTAGTAAATGCATCATAAGGCTGCGAATTTGCTTTGCTGCATGATTACATATTGCAAAAGTGATGATCCTTTTGTAGATGTTAAATAAACGTAATGCTGGATGTCCTGATGCATGCTCAGTAATCAACTGAAGAATAGGGCTGAACAATTAATCGCATTTGCGATAATATCGCGATATGATTGAACAAGATTTTCTAATTGCAAAGGCTACAATTTGACTGGTCACGTGATCTGGTTACGTGACTTATGAGTGAGTAAAGCAGGGCAGGAAGCAGGAGAAGTCAACACAGCGTTTTAACTGGTTGCACAGTGGCGTCAGGCTCGACAGAAGCTGATACATCTGAAAGTTTGGTACCAAAGAGGGGCAGCACGTCCGTTGTTTGGAATTATTTTGTCTATAAAAAAGAAGACGCTGCACAACGACATGTATTGTGCAGAACCTGCCTTGCTGCTGTTGCTACCTCTGGAGGTAACACCACAAATCTTTATCAACACTTAAAAAAAACACCACAAAGCCATTTACGATAGTTGCATGGCTAGAATACCAACGACCAGTGCTTCAACTTCAAGTAAGCAAAGTACCAGCCGACAGGGATCACTGACCGAACTGTTACGTCGTATGAACATAATTCGAAACAGCACGTGGAAATAACTCGAGCAGTAACGGAGTTCATAGCAAAAGACATGATGCCCATTAATATAGTGACCAAGCCTGGGTTTACGGCATTGGTAAACACAGTGGATAAGCGGTACAGAATGCACTCACGCACACATTTTAGCCAAGTTGCTTTCCCTGAGCTACACAAAAAATGCAGAAACAGAGTTGCAGCGGAGCTGAAAACAGTGTTTTTGGGTTTTTTTTGCAACTGAAACAGATTTATTGCTTGTGTTTGTTGAAATTTACACGAGAAGAAGACATCGAAAAGTAATCTCATATTAAATCGCAATATTGAGGTAAAAAAAAAAATCACAATTATAATATTTTCCTAAATCGTTCAGCCCTACTGAAGAAGTCTTCTGGATAAAAGACGAAACGTTTCGACACAGAATAATCCGTCCTGAGGACCTGATTCAATGTTGTTAGATAACGCTGGATGTTTAATGTCAGACGTCTCACTGCTTAGACGTCAAATCGTTATTCTGTCCTTTCAGAGAACAGTTCCTCGGCTGCTCAGACCAGGGAGAGCTGTGACAGACACGTCTACCAGAAACCCCCGTCAGGCAGGGAGACCTGTGAGAGGGTGTCTTACTCTGCAGGACAGAAGCTCTCAGCAGGTCTCCACCACACTCCCTTCATCTTCCCGGAAGGCTTGTCCTCCATAGAGACCCTGCTCACAAACATCCAGGTGAGGCTCTGCCGGGGCTTTATTATTATCGCACTCTAAGATGAATAGGAAGAGAGGTGAGCCACACTCTGGGATTTCCTGAAATCGTAAATAGCAGACGAGGTAGACATTTAGGATGTGCAGTAATTGGGTTGGGCGTGTGCTGACCTGCTTCTCAGATTTTACACGGCTTTGTTACAGCGGAGCTACAGTGAGAGCCCTCTCTTGTTTGGTTTTCACAGGGAGGGGAAAACAATCACCGTCTGACCCTGATGCGTTGTCCTTTTCACTTTTTTAACAAGTGGTTAAGAGAATTGACTTATTTTAAAACTTTGGATGAATTATTTTAAAGCTACTCATTGCAAAGTATCAAATCAAACACAAAAAGGTTGCCCTGAACTTTATCAAATCTTCATTTGGAAGAGTTTACCTCAGTAGTTTTGCAGATCTATTGATATGCAATGTTTACATTTGGACCGCATGAAAGCTTGAGTCATGCGACTGACTTGCGTTAGGCTAAAAGGGAAAAAGCAAAAGAACGTGTAAGACAACTGTTAGTTAATATCGAAGATCCAGCAGGGCAGTGGAACACCATAAAGACAGATCATCATTCTGCGGGGAGTGGTGGTGCAGAGGTTAGAGAAGATGGGCCTGTGATTGGAAAGTCGCAGGTTCAACTCCTCGGACCGACAACATCAAAATGAGTTCTCGTGACTCCATGAGACTACCTGTATAAATAAAGGGTAAATAAAAAAATAAATCATTCAAACACATGCAGCTTTTATAAAACTTCTTCCAGACCAGTAATTGCATTGTTTTAATCTGACTTATTTTTATATTAAAATTGATTCCAAACAGCTCTTCTTGTTGTTGGCCTATTTTCAATCACTTTATCTGTTTCCACAGGTAAATAAACTCACACAGTACTTGGCAGCCGTTTGCAAAGTTTGCTTACAAATTTTAAATTCAAGAACACATTAGCTGTCTATATGAGAAAAACGGTGATTTTTTTTTTTTGATGGGTAGTTTTTAAATTCAATTCAATTCAAATTCAAAAATAATTTATTAATCCCAAAGGGAAATTAAATGTTGTTGTAACTCGTTATCCTCGTTTCATTAAGAGATGTTATAGATACTGATGGCTGTAAGGAAGGATGTCTTGTAAAAACAAAATCCTGAATAATGATCAAAATAAGTAATAATAATAAAATAAACACAAACTTTGTGAGTGCAGACAACAAGACACCTCCCCTTGATGTTTGTCAGTGTGTTAACCTGTCGGTACGGGTCTGTGTGTCTCCAAGCAGGGTCTGCTGAGGGTTGCCATAGAGAATGCCCGGGCACAGGAGAAGCAGGACCAGCTGGAGAGGACGGAGCTGAAGATGGAGCTCGTCCGAGAGCGGGAGCTCCGAGAGACGTTGGAGAGACAGCTTAGCATGGAGCAGAAAAACAGAGGTAGGCTAGAAAACTCTCAGCAGGATTTGAACAACTGCCGCTACCTATAAGTGTTTCTGATGATTATATACTAGTCGGCACGTATTGATTGAAGTGCTGTGTTTCTGTTCCCGTAATTTATCAAGTGTGTGTTTTTAACATCCAAACACAGACGATTCTGCTGCGAAGCTAAACAAGGTTTGCTTTAATCCACTTCTTAGCTGACAGGGTGTCCATTAACTTGGAAAATCAGATAAGGAAGTGAGGACACCTACAGTATATTACCCCTGAAAGCAGCTGCAGAGGTGAATTAGACTGATGTTGGCAGTATACAACAAAATAAATCAAGTTTGGCAAGTTCACAGAAGCTGTCATCTGCAGCACAGTCTGAACAAACTTCTGTCAAGGACATTTTGTTTGATAGGGTCCCACCAGGTGGGAGCAAGTGACAATAAAATGGAAAAACTAACCATCCAGTTTCATAATGCAGCGGGGAACATTTATCTGTTTGGGGAAGGGGTGCAACAGTTCTGACATCCTTTCCTGTCATCCTTTTCATCAGTTTTGATCCAGAAACGCCTGAAGAAGGAGAAAAGGAGTAAGAGGAAACTACAGGAGGCCTTGGAGGAGGAGGTCAAACTCCGCGATCAGGCAGAGCACAGCCTGCTGCACACTGCCAACTCACACATAGGTGCTCAAACTGAAGCCTTTTGTTGTTGTTTTTTTGTTAAATATCATTTTTCTGTTTTGACTCCAAACTGGGCCTAATGTTACCCTGCTAATTTTCATTTTCACATTAAATGTCACCAAGCTTTCAGTAGAACGTAGCTTTGAGTGTTCATTAGCCTCTAATTAAGTGTCTTTATTAATTAATGACCAATCTACAGGCCATCAATCACTGGCAGCGCCTCCTCACGCAGAATCTGTGACCCAGGACGCGAACGGGAGCAGCCATGATGATGACAGGCCGGACACTAAGGCGACGCAAGGTACAGCTGTCCAGATAACAAACACCGCTGCCGCAGGCTGCAGCTGTGAGAGCACACCTATGTTTGGAGCTGTAAAAATATCCCTGTCCTGAATTTATATCTTGAAAAGCTATCACTGCTACAAGAATCTGCCATCAAATAAAAAGCTCCAGGCAACCTCATTACAGTAGTCCCTCGCTACTTTGTGGTTCGTTTATCGTGGACTCGCTCTGTTTGCGGTTTTTCAAAATAAGATTGGACATGACACACAATCGGCTGATTGATGGTTGAGCTGCACGATCAGCAGGAAATTTTTATTTAAAATAAATTATTTTAAATTATTTAACACCTGATGCACCTTTGTGCTGCCCATACTGCAGGAAAAGCTTCATGCTGCAGCTGATCAGCTGTTCACCGTGCAGAGCGGAAAAGTGAGCGGGACCAAGAGTGCTTGCAGGTGGCAAAGAGCAGAGGAGGCAGGGAGCTGAAATCATGATATTCTGTGCTCTTTTAGAGGTTTAGAAACATTGTTTAGAATGAGGCCTGTCATGATAAACAATAAATCAATTAATTGCTTGACAAATGAAAATTATGGACCTCATTTTCATTTATCGGCTTTATTGTTTCTTCGTGTATCTCTTTCTACTGAAGACACGGTTCAACTCTGGTGCTCTTCACTGACCCCTCCCTTTCTCTTTTCTCTTTAAAATCTGTTTTAACCGTACAAAATCACATTTTTGGTTCGTTAAAAGCAGCTAAGCTGAGAAGCTAAGCTATGAGCTAAGCTAACAGGCCGACCTCAGTAATAAATCTCCGTCATGTTGAAGCTCCAAAATTCACGGATGAAACGTGTGCCTTCATGCAAAAAGTTGTTTTTTTTCTGCAAAAAGAAGCTGAGAACTTGTTTACTGATTTTTTTTTTTATTAAAAGCTTTGTGTGAAAAATGCTATGCTAAAGCGCGTAAATCACTGAGTGTCCACCATTTTAGCCCATGTCATGTCAAGGGACCTCTCTCCCATTTTTCTTAAAGAGACACACTGTTCAACTATCCATCCTTCATTCAAACAGTCTTATACTGCCATCAGGTGGTCAAAAAAGGTACTACACTCCAAACAAATCAACATTTCTTCTAAGATTTGACAATTCCATCCATCCATCCATTATCTTTTTATCCGCTTCTTCCATTTTGGGTCACGGGGGTCGCCGGTGCCCATGTCCAGCAATCACTGTGCGAGGGGCGGGGTACACCCTGGACTGGTAATTTGACAATGAATTATTGTTAAATTTCAAACAATATTATCGTTTATCGCAATAATTTCTGTGACAATTAATCGCCCAGCAAAATTTGTTATTGTGACAGGCCTATTTAGAATATTGCAAGAGTGTAGGAAGAGTGTAAAATAAATTTATATATATATATATATATATTCATATATATATATATATATATATATATATATATATATATGAATACTAAAATAAACTACTAATTGTACTACTATTCCTACTTCGCGGTTTTTCACTTATTGCGGGTCTTCAAGGTGTGGATCCCCCACGATAAACAAGGGACTACTGTATAGTGTTTGATATTTTTGTTAAAGTAAACTATTAAACGTTCTCTTTTTATTCAGGAACAGCATCAGTTGTGTTCTAAATTGATTTAATTCTTCCCAAAACATAAAGTTCCATTTCAAAGTAAGAATAGCGGTGTCCTGCTGGTTAGGATTTATTTAGCTCCTGTTGACTGAGCTAGGACAACAGAATTCATTATTTCACCTACTCGCTGCTTTTGATGCTCAACAGACCGATCTACTGGAAAGGTTTTGAAAGATTTCACAGCAACGCTCCTGAGAAATTGAGCAAAAACGAAATGAAGCATGAGACAGATCACCAGGGCTACCGTTTTATGTAAACAGGCGTTTTAATATATTTTGTCCGCTTGAGTCAAAGAAACGGAGGAAAACAAAAAGAAATAAAAGAAAAAGGGAAATCTTACAAGTCCCATCGTAATCGGACAGGAAAAGAAACGGACACGATCTCTCGCCCTGGCCTCGTCAAAGGAGCGCATAGTTCCTGCCCACCTCTGCTCCGCACTGTGCCAAGACCACCAAACCAAGACAACCGAGCAGACAGCGTGCTTGTTCAAAAGCAATTTTTAATTGAATGTCAGTGAAGCAAGAAGAGAACTGGCCACTAATTAATGGCTGTCTTAATTGTCCTCATGACGAGTTTGTTTGGACATCATTTGCATAATTAACACCCAGTAATAAATCATTTAAAGGGGAATTGTCTGTCAGACAGCAGGGCAGGATGTGGTCCCTTTGTGTCAGGAAGTTTTAGCACCAGAAGAAGAAAAAAAAAAAAGAAGGGAATCAGACGCAGAAAAATGCTTTGAACTTAATAATGCGTCTTTGTTAGCCATCTTTGATCATTGCTCCGCAGGAACGTCATTACCGCAGATTTAAACACTAAAGAAATCTTTTTTTTTATTATTTCAGAGGGTAGGATGTTCCTGCAGACGGGGTTGTTCTGAGGTCCACGGTGGAGGGACGAATGGATGAATGAAGAGATGAATGGACGCGCGAACAGAGTGATGAAGATTCCTCCCTCGACAGGCATGCTCGCTCCCACAGTGGCATCTGAGACACAAATCTCCACCTCCCCCACATTTCAAGGGAAACATCCGAACTTTCTTGTTGCTCTCTTGTTTAATTTATTGAACTTATCCAATCTCAGCCGTAGTGGAAAGAGTACTTTATTCTGATGTTGTGTTTGTGTTTATTTCAGTTAAAACTTTTAGGTCCTAAACGACAAGAGTTGTTTGTTTTTGTTCCCCTTTATCAGTGCTGTTTATTTGGACACAAGTGACAAATATAACTTGTAACAGAGTTGTGTACATATATATAGTCATCATTTTTATTAATTATTATATTATTTGGAGGGGGAAAAAGACACAATGGCATGTTGTACAGTCAGTAAGTGACTTGTATTGTGTATGTTATGCAGTAGTGCAGTTTGACAATACAAACAATACAAATCCTTTTTATTAAGCTGCGTTCTTGCTTCTTTCTTGACATATTATTCACAGTTCTACAGCCGATAGCAACAAAACGCAGGTGGAAGATCCGCATCGTCTGCAGGACGAGATGTAGGAAATAATCTGGCATTGATTGATTCTGCATCTAAAAAAAAAACAAAAAAAAAACACGCCAGGTATTGACAGAAAGACAGGAAGGTGGTGAGCAGGGTCACATTTAAGCTGTCAGTAAAAAATGTTGATGATGCACGCTCTCTCTCTCTCTCGCTCTCTCTCTCTCTCTCTGTGTGGATGAACTTTTTTCCTCCTGTGCACGCTTTAGTAAAAAGAACACCGAGGGACTTTACAGGATGAATTTGTATCGATCAATATTTGAATTTTAGTTACATACAACTCTGTGTCGCAATAATTATGTAAAAACTTTACTCACTTTTTTGCTCTGTATTGACTAATTTATACATTTTGCTTTGATGATTGAACGAGGCATAGCTTAATTAGTACAATATTTTTCTTATTTAATAATTGAAAATAACTAATAAAATGTCTTAATTAGAATTATGGTCAAGGTTTGTCAAAGTGAGGACAGTTATTTCATTCAAAGTGTGAGAGGTATTAAATACACCTGCTGTTTAGAAATATTGGAAGCAATTCCCACAAGGATATAATTTACTAAAATTATTAAATGACAAGAATATGAAGCCATTTGATGGCCTAAATAATCTTGTTCTCAACCCGCTTTTGGAAGTTCTTTTGTTTGAGTCTGCCAGGTTTTCCTCACGCAGCCTTGTCGAAATGTCCCGCATGCCACTTCCTGGGCAGAGGGATAAGCTGTGAAGCAGGACTACAACAATACCTTTGCTACAGGCTATTCTTTCTGAACAGAGCGGTTGACAAATGAATAGCAACGATTCACAGAAACCAACGTGCGAATGAGTCATCAGCTTTTCAGATGACCACCTCTGTCTTGACTGAAAAAGATTTCTGCTCTTCACACACACACAGACACACACATCTCACAATTCACTGAGTTGCATTGTCCTGCTGAGAGATGTGTAATGGAAAAGATAAATGGAGGATAAAGCTAAGGTGACAGGCTTGAGTTCATGTGCGTTTCCGTATTTGCATGTGCATTTGTGTGTGTGTGTGTGTGCCCACACGTGTGCACGGCACAACAGACCAGCAAACCATCTGCTCATCTCCTCTTAATGAACAAAGCAAACAGCAGGAGTCAAGGCTGTCTCCAAATCTGGAGTCTCTTTATTGGTAAGCACACACAAACACACATCTCTGCACTGTTTAATCTGATTATCTTTGATTGAGAACAGGGGCAAAGCAACCTTTTTAAACCTCACTCCCACATCAGTGACAGAGAAGGTCTGAAACACAATTAGCAAGCTGTTACTGAGCTCTGCTTTGCAGTCACATCTGACTACAGGCAGCCAAATAGACCTAATGGCTGGGAACTAACCAATGGGAACTAATCTAACTGCATCTGCAACACTGTTAGACAGCTGTTTGCCATATCTCTTCAAATGTACTTAGATGAAACATAAGCACTGGATCCAATCGCTCAGGCGCAAGAGGGAACATTGTTTGATGTGAATAAAATTGGCAGCCAGTGTGCTTTAAGACAAAGCATACGCTCGGCAAAGGAAGTCTGGCCTTTGACAAGATATGACACGGTGCTCATGAGGCCAGAGCAACATAAAATAAAGTCATTAATCTGGACTTTGTGTAGCCATATCCTGTTCGAGACTTCAAGGATAATTAACGCTGTTACAAATCACACGACTTCAGGACATGGAACGATTCTGCTGCTGCTTGGATGAGAACCAGAAATAAAAATTACATGTTGAACAATCAGACAATGTGGCTTAAGAACAAATAAATGTGTGCTAGGGCATTGTATATTAACAGTGGCATCAAGGGTACAATTACAGCCCATCGGGCATATGATTTGGTTATATGATCTGCACTGATGAAACAATGAGGAATGGTATAAATCTATATAAAATAAATCAGCAGTTTTCAGCCTGAGGACATACTTTTCTGCAGAGATAAAATTTTATACAAGAAGACGTCCCTGCTTTCACCATTGTGTGGATGCACTCATGCAGTCTAAAAGTATTCATGAATCATAAAACATTATATAATTAGATGTTAAAAAATAAATGAAAAAAAAAAACCCAAAACTTGTAACTTTTTGGTTTACTAAGTTGTTACCATTTTTTTTTTATTTCTTCCTCAAAATTGGACACATTTTCCTTCTTTGAGATGTTTTAAATTGAAGACAATATCTGATTTAATTATTTTAGTTATATTTTTGTTTATCTTGTTTGATATGATGCAGCTAAAAATTGTGTGGGTTCAAAATGTTGGACATATGAATTATTTTTCTCATGTGTTCACGTTGGGCAGGTGGGCATGTATGTTGTCCATTTGATATCAATATTATTGCGTTTCCAAAAGTTTTCTTGGTGTGAGGATTTTAAATATGATGTTTATATTTAAATTGTGTCTATGGCTGAGTTAAGCATTGTTTTGATGACACTGATATTAGTGGACTGCAACGTTCCAAAATTTTTTGTACGTCAGTTTACCAGACTAATTCGAATAGGGATGAATTGTACAATTCAACAAAAAAAGTTGCAATAATACTTCTTTTTTAATTTGTATTTTCTCTTTTTTGAACAAGTAAAGCTCCTTTTCTGATTTTTATTTATTAAAACATAATTTTGTTTTAGCAATAAAACATTTTCTACAGAAACAATATTTTAAGCTGTTTTCTTTGATGACGAGCAGTTAAAAAGTTTACCAACAGCGCCCTCTAGCGTTCATTTGTGTTCGCATCACTTTCGACGTTCGAACCTGTTTGTCCTTTTCGGACTTCCGTAGCTGATTCCTTCCTCCTGTCTCTTTCTCACTGTGAGAACATGGATCCTCTCAACTACTTAGTTCCGGTATTTTAGTGAAAAGTGAATTTTGTTTCGGGGTCAACAGCCTCCCTCTGGGTTTATTCATTCACCTGGACGCCATGTTTGTCACCACGGGCTCTCGGGGCCTCTGTATGTATCAAGAGTTAAACCATACCGGGGCTGTCACAGTCTGACAGCTAACTGCTGTTAGCATACCGCTGTCGTTCAGTTACTCGAAGCTGGAGCTGTCAGTTATCGTTTCACTTTGCTAAGCTTACCCAGTCAACCTAATGACTTAGTTAAAGTGTAGCTGATCATATAATATGTTAAGTTTGTCCTCAGAGCGACGGTTTCATGTAAACTGTTGTATGTGTTGGTTTTCCACAGATATGGCTCCTCTGTCTAAAGGCCTTCTGTTAGTTCTTAATGGGCTGACAGTGATGCTGACCCTGCTGCCACAGTACGAAGACATGTTTGTGTACAACCTGCAGGCTATCACACAACAGCACCAGGTATGTCTCCACAATTTCTGTTTGGTTGTGATCCAGAGGGGAGAATAAGCTCAATTAATGTATACTTTCTGTGTATTTTATTTTACACCTGTTTCACTCCACGATGCATGTTGTCTTTCATTAAACAGGCCGATTCTCATTATCAGCACCACTAAAGTTTATTAAAATGTTGGGGTTTCGTTTGGCTCAAATCAAGATTGTTTAGGAAATCTTTCCTGCTCTAAGCCACCAATCCACACTGTTTAATGTACCCCTTATTTTAAAAAGATATATATTTTCTGATCTTCAGTCTTAATTTTCTATTCTCTTCTTTTCACTATATTTTTATATCCTGCTTATTTTTTCTGTGTGTGTAGTTTTGTGTTTGTAACTTTGTTAAAAATGAGAATTTATCAGTCTTGAGATCAGTAATCTGTCTGTCTGTCGCCTCAGCTAAGCTTTCAGGCATATCTGATGTTTCTCGTGTCTTTTCATTGTTATATATGTTAAATATAGATGCTATCAAATGCCATTAAGGCGAAATAAAAATTACTGCAGGGTAAAGTGAACTAGTAAGTAAGTAAGTAATTCTGCTGCGCCCTTCTGCTGGGGTCACCACTGTGAGTGAACCTGCATGAAAGATTTGGTAGTTATTTTGTGCCAGATGCCCTTCCTGACACAACCTGGGCTCAAACCAGCAGCCCCAGGATTACAGGGCTATGGCACTTAATCACTGAGCTACTGCAGCCCTGATGGTTTAACTGAATTACAGTAGTAAACAAAAAACACTGCACGCACACAAAAGCTATACTTTTTTTTTTACAAGGCAGAATTATCCCAGTGCAGGCCTTAAGGGCAGATTGAAAAGTCTAGGAAACACTGGACTAAACAAAGAAGATAAAGTCATCATCTAGGCTGCAACAATAACAGGATGTAGATTATATTTATATGGCTGTCCTGAGATTTATGCACATTATTATTAGCATGGATATAAGTGGAGTATGATGCCTGTGTGAGTGTTTTTTAATGCCACATTTGCTAAAAAAAAACAGTCTTGTTCGCATTAATTTGATGCCTCCTCTGGTTGATATTGCAGCCAATTTGAAAACAGTTGTTCTGAAGAAAGATGCATTAATGACCAATTATTTTGTGCAAAGTTTGGGATTTATAGTGAAACATGAGCACATCACTAGACCCAAACTGTCTAAGGTCACTGAAGAGGAGAAAGTGCACGAAGGAGTCAGAAAATGAAGAACGTATATGACTACCTGTTAATTTCCACGGTTGGGTCACATGACATTAGAGCTTCTTTCATTTGCTGATGAACCCTAGAGATTGTTGCTGAATATTTTTTTTACATGATCCTTATTGGATAAATACTTTGCATTGCTTGAGTGGTGGCTCAGAGGTTAGAGAAGGCGAGCATGTGTTTGAAAGGTCGTATGTTCAAATCCCACTGACCCCTGAAGAAGGGAGCAGGCAAAAAGAAAAAAACAAAGCTTGATTAAGCCATTTCAGAAAACGTTTTGAGCCTTCAATGTGCGATATATTCACCTTCTGTGTAATATATGGGCGATGGATGCTGAATGTTTGAAGGAAGTATTGTCACAGAGCGCTTTACTGTTTTCTATTTTCTCCTCTGGTTTAGAAGTCTGTATGTGCATAAAACTGCTACTCCATTCACTGTAGGTGTGGAGGTTGTTGTGTGGCAGACTGATCTGTCTGGATGTGAAGGACTCCTTCTGCAGCAGCCTGCTGATATACAACTTTCGAATCTTTGAGAGAAGGTTTGGTACCAGGAAGTTTGCTGTAAGTACTAAAACTATACCTGAGCATGCATGTGAAGTTATCCCAAATCGTTTTAGTTTTAATTCACAGAGTTCCAAATGTGAACCTGTTCACTTTGGATTTTGTTTCATCTATTTGTTTTGGCTTTGCTCAAATATAAACCTGCATAAGCATGAACAATGAACAGGGATACAGGTCCACACCAGAAAAGGCACACGCCCACAGTGATTTTGGCATTTTAGTGGACCCATCAAATCACTAAGCAAAACCATATAGATAAAAAAAACATACATTGAAAAAAGTTCTAAATGATCAAGAATAAAATAATATTTATTGCTGAACTGTAAAGTGGAAAAGATGCATCTAGTTTTGAACCTATTTAGTTTTATTTACAAACTGACTTTGTTCTGGGTTACCGTATTTTTCGCACTATAAGGCACATTTATAATCCTTAAATTTTCTCAAAAATCGACAGTGAGCCTTATCATCAAGTGTGCCGTATGTATTAATGTATTAATTCTGGCTGTGCTTACTGACCTCGAATTGATTTTATGTGGTTATTGTGAATGAGTTGAATAAAGTTTGTCTTATCTGACTGTTTTGGTTCACTTAATGTGCCTTATAATCCAGTGCGCCTTATGTATAAAACAGACCTGTTCTTTGATATTGCGCCTTATAATCTGAAAAATACGGTATTTCTTTTTAACATATCACTCATATATAAATAAACAAAATACTCAGAGCTTTTCAGGCACAATTATACACACATTAGAATTGATAAGATCTTCATTTGTAATTCAACTTCACGTTTAGGAACGGGAGCAGTTTACTTCCTCATCTGGCTAACATGGTTGACTGTAGGGACATTTGAACTTGTATTTTTATATTACACGGTTGTTCTTATGATCATACGGTGCGGCTCTTATTTCCAGTCTTTCCTGTTGGGCTCTTGGTGTCTCTCTGCACTGGTGGATTTCCTTTTGGCCCAAACTTTCCAGTATTTGTTTGAATATGAAGTGGAGGAACTGCCTGCAGGACTGTGAGTAGTGTCACTATTTTATGACCCCTTAAAGTCTGCAGGTATACCAAAAATAATATTTCTGTTTTCTGATGTTTTAAATTAATGTTTCAGTTTGGTGCCATTTAAAATGAACATTATTATCCCAAAACAGACTAGTTATTGAATTAGTGTTGTAATGTGTGGTTTTTAAATTTTTGGAGAACTGTGATGCAACATTTATCCATAAACACGATAGAGGGACTTTGAAGTATCATGACAGACTTAATGAAATTATTATTATTCAGTGAATCTAAAGACTCAGGCAGCTTGGTATAAAACTCCACAATGTTCTTCTTAAATTCCTTGACATATACTAGAAGTGTTTATATTTTTGTCTGTTTTCTTCCATCTTTATTTATTTTTTATCCCTCCATCCACAGGCTTGCTCCTGTCTTCTCTCTATTTGTGCCTTTCTACCTGTCAATCCCAAGAATGCCAGTCACCCAAATACTGGGTCACATCCACATCACCAACAAGTCTCTGGTTTACATTGTAGGCTTGCAGGTGAGCTTCAGTGTTCTGCTACAGTGTCTATATTGGATTCACTGATTAGTGATCATTTTTGAAAGAATGTGTTTTCCAGCCGGTCTTTACGTTTTGTTTTTCTGTTTGAATCTTTTCCGATGCAGCTGTTGACTTCCAGCCCTTTCATGTGGCTCCTTGCACTTAGTGGACTGGTGAGATATTCCTGTTGTCTCCCTTGTGTCTAAGTTGTAATCTGGAATTCAACTTGTAGCAAATGTTTTACAGTGCAGTCTCTTATATAAAGATGTAGATGGAAAAAAAAAAGCTTCTTAATGTTTTTGTAAAGTTGTAATGCAGATAGTAACACTTTTGCAGTCTAATAATTAAAATCTTCACATTTTCAAAGTGGTGTATGCAGGTGCTTTATGGTGCATCGCTCCTGGTTCTTTTTCATAGCGTTTGTTTCATGTCTCACATTGGGATCACCCTCAGCGTGACCTCATCAGAAGCTCCTGTTACATTACTGCAGCCACGATTGTCTGCAAATAAGTCTGTCGTTGTTGAGGAGTTCAGGGTCCCTCCCTCCTTATATAGGGCTGTTGCACTGACAGTTTATTTAAAAATTTTTCTTACATTGAGCAAAAGTTCCCACCAGCTCTCTCGAGGGTACTGTCTCTCTCTCTGAGCTTAGCCAAACTGCCTGTATATGCTTGTGCAAGCTTGGTCGCTGGGCGTTTTGCTCTCCGTCAGCACAGCACCTTACAGAGTAGTGGCTCATCAGTAGCAATACCGCCACTTCTACTGTCTATCGAAAGTAGAAATACTTTGTTTAAAAATAAATAAGCTAACTACCACCTCTTGACATAGGGTGGCTGTTTACGAAAATAGTAATACTCTTGCTGGTTAAGCTACCCATCGAGAAGCAGCAACACTCCCCACAGCCTAGCTTAGCTGTCACCAGCTACATGAAGCGTCACAGACATCTGTCTGGAACATGGAAACCATCAGGGCTTCCACAAATCCAGAGGAGAGCCCGCAGGCACCATCTTGCCCATGTGGCAATAAAATTTCAAGCTGGGACACCCAACCAACGTGTGCGGCATGCCTCAGTTTGAAACACGCCCAGGCATCCGTTGAGTTTTAGGAGACTGCACGCACTGCAGCCGGTTCTCCGTCAAGGTGCTTTGTCGATGTCTGGCCCGTCAATCAGCATTGTCTAGCAGCGACCCAGTGATGGCATTAACGTGCAGGACCCAGCTGACCTCCTGTGCTCGCAGGTTACTGTACCAGAAGCTGGAACTACTTGGGGCTGTGGACCTGCTGCCATCTGAAATGATAGTGCAGGGTCTCACTCGGCTTCATGATGGCAGGAGGCGAGCTCTCAGATGTGGATTTAGAGCTGCCCTTTTCAAACGACGACAGGGATTATGACCCATCTCGACATCCAGGAGCCCGAAGTCCAAACCAAGGTGGTTTGTTTGCGTTTGGACAGGAGAACAAAACTGCCAAACGCTAAGAAAACAGGCAAACAACTCCTGCTGTTTTTTACATAGCTGCTGGAAGAACTGTCTGTCTTTTGGCACAGCAAGTCCTTTTAGGAGAAACACCTGGTGGTGGCAAGCTTGGTGCTGGACTGTGTGGACTTGGAAAGGTGCAGTATCCGTCAAATGCCTCCAGTCGAGACGGCAGTTGGTGCACACCTGCACCCAAATATATTTATGTTGGTAGCTGGCTCGGTTGTCCCCTCCAGAGGGGACTGCTCTCAGTCCAGCCTCACATAAAAATCATATAAATCAGCTCCGCTGTCAGTCCATGATCTGAATGCCTCCTCCATGCTCATGGCTTACCAAGCAGAGCTGGAGGAGCATCATTAGTGTGCAAGTGTGCATCATTACGAATCATTGTCTCCAGCTGCACAAAGAGGAGAGCCAGGTGTCTGAATCTCACCACTTTTTACACAAAAGAGAAGGAGGATCTTCTCGACACTCCCTTCACTCCTCAGGGTCTGTTTGGCTCTGCGCTCACCTTGATGCAAAATAGGTGGAAGGAGAAGAAAAGAAAAGAGATGAAGCTCAGTCTCCCCAGATGCGTGTTTGCCTTCACAACCGCAACCCCATCACCCCAGCACCAAACCTTCACTCAGGCTTGATCCCCACCTTCAGAATCCCAAAACTGCCGAAGGTGCAGGGAGTCCCGCAGGCACAGCAAAAACCCTCCTCTAAAACCCTGTGGCAGAGGAAGCCAGAGGGCTCCAGTCCCAGCCAACCACCATCTACCTCCACTCAGGTGGTAAGGAGGAGGAAACACCTGGCCTGCCATCCTCCATAGATGGAAGGAAGTAGTAAGATTCTCTTTCCACCGTGATTCTATTTCCGAGCCTGTTCAGAGTGTTCAACTGAGTTCTGTGCTTATCAGAGAGGATGTTCGAGCCTGCTCAGCAGTGACACCAACAGCATCACACAAGCACACTTATCTTTTGTCAGTAAAAAATAAGTGATCAAACTGTCGGATCCAGGCTACAAGCTGAGGGCGCAGTTAAAAATGTTGAAAAACATTTTTCTGGTTATTTAGCCAGAATTTTTTTTTTTTTTAATGTTGCAGCATTGTATGCTGTTTGTTTTTAACTCTATGCTGCAAAACAGACATTTTTCCAGTTTGCAACACAGCCCATCTAAATGTCTTGAGTTTTTTTAGGTCGTTCTTTTATTATACCTTTTGTGCCCCATTTTGCATGATGTATTTCCCTATTGTAAAACCACTACTTAGACATGATTTTCTTACTGTGCCTTTCAGATCTCAGGTGGACTGTACCACTCCAATGTTCTGTGGTTACAGAAGATCCTTTTTGTCCCTGCCTGGGTGTCTAATGTTGGACGCTATATTCTAGAGCCATTCTTCTCAAGTGAGTCCAGCTGCTGAAGTTCATTTACAAAAATCCTGTGTAGGTTTTATTTTTTTTAACTCTGACCAGTCTGATTTGGAGTTTATGGGAGTTCTTCATTTCATATGTTCTTGTTGTGAAGAAATTAGATAACTGAAATTAAGGATAAAGTGTTCAGCTGTCTGTGCTGGTGCACTTGACTTTTCACATTGACATTAATTACCATTTATTCCCTTAAGGTGGTGGGAAGCCATTTTATTTAAATAACAGTTTCTAAGTTTTGTCTTTACAGCATGTTTGTGTGTAATATTGCCACAAACAAAAAGGATGTTTGAGAAGTTCACAAAAAATAATTTAAATTAAATGAAATTAAATGGAGGTAAACCAGAACCATTTTACCTTCTATGGAAGATTAAAAAAAATACTGTGTCAGAAAATGTGATAATGAAATCCAACATTTTTCAGTCAGGTCATCTGGACAGTTTCTTTTTTTTGTGCTGAAACGTTTCGCCTTCGATCCGGAAGGCTTCATCAGTCGAGGAAACACACAACAAAACTGATTCTTCCCCTAACAGCTTACTCCAAAGTGGAACAAACCAGTTCTGCTTGTGATAAGATGGTCTCTTTGGTACGCCTCTCCTCCATTGCCAGCCCTCTTCCTTGTTGACAGTCTTGTCAAACTGGTTGAAAACAACAAAGTC